TCCGTCCAACATTTCTAACCCACCTACCCCCCAGGCCCCCCGCTGCCCGACCCCTACTTACGCGGTGTTCGAAACTTACCGGCGAACTGGATTTTCGGAGTCTTTTAATTACCGCGATTATTATCGCGCTATGGAATACTAATTAATTCCGGCTTGGCCGAGCGTGAGAGGCTGCGAGCGCCGCGCGAGAGAGCAGAAGTTTCCCGCCGCGCGAGAAAAATTATGCGAGACGTTTTTCTCGGCGTCCTACCTGCGGCTCCGCGAGCGCAGGTAGAACGCTGTGGCAATTTTACGAGCGAAGCATGAACGAAGCGCCGCAACTTCGACCGGAACGCGCGACTTCACCACCGCCAAGACGTCCCTGCTAATTGATTTCACCAAAACATCGGTAGATTCAATAGAATATCTACGAGCGACAGAGCTCTAAAACGAAAGCCTCGGTGATGAAAATGCGAGTTTCTCCGGATTGTCGCGCATCCCAATGAGGATTTTGCAACGATCATCGAGGATCCTTCCATTTTCGGCAATTTTATCATCGGAGTTTCCAGTTAATTCCACATAGATCGATGATAATTTACGTTACCGCATTATGTCCGTGCAATTTAAGCGTTAATGAATTATTTACTCGACTAGAGTTTCTCGTATCCCTCTTCAGCGTTTTCCGAACAGACATCTGAGTCCTCCATGATTGGGAAGGACATTCCTTTCAAGGCCTTTCAAGGCCGAGAATGCCCACACACATATAGATTGTTCTTATTTATCTGCGGCTACTCGCACATTATTTTCTTTGTTCATTAAAATCGAAACAACGATGAATTTGGCTACGTGAATCGTATGCGCGGATTAATTAATATAACACTGATTTGTTACATGAAGGAACGACTATGTATCACATATACACAGGTCACATGCAATCGGTCAGTTTTTCCGTGTGTATGTTTTATGCAGCCGCAAAAGTCTGGATAATTTTTGACATGGCTGGAAAGATGTAGAGAGAGAAACAAAAATCTTGGTTCAAAGGTCAAATCAACAATTATTTGCTAATTATGTACGTAATCACCAAACCTGCTAAAAAGATGCAAAGAAAAATATAAAAAATATAATAATAAAAATACAAAATATATAAGAAGTTTAATAATGAAAATATAAAATATATAAAACATATAAATATATAAGATAAAATATATAGGAAATATGAAATATAAAATTTTATTTTGTGAAGCGTCTTTTTTGCCTTCAAATTCTCAGTTTATCCGCAGTCTATAACGGTTCTGTGCCCTAAAGAAATTTTCGTGTGTGACCAAGTTTTTGTGCATCACCGTCGCAGAGACATAACAATAGGCGCGGTTTAACCTACCTTTATGTTACCTGCGATCAGTATCCGGTTTTGGGCTATAGAGTGGCACCAGACGAATTAGATTCTTGAAGAAAACATAGCCAGGGATATAACTGTAATCGTTGTATCGGCCGTCCCATTCAACAGCGAAGCCGACAAAAGAGTGTATATGTGTGTGTGTGTAAGAGGGAAACAGAGTAATCTGCGGATTTGTACAAACTTTCTAGTCTAATGTCGCCGCAGAATTTTGTCTAACGGGAATAGCGCAGCGCTATTCTGGTAAGACACGCGCTACAAGAGTGAAATCCCGCGTACAAGAGTGAAAAATCTGCTGCGAGAAGAAACATAATATTTGCCTTGTCTTCGCTGCGATGCAGCGCCATTTTGCGACACACGAGATATTTTATTTATTTATTCGACGATTATCAAGATAAACTGAAGAAAGCGCGAAAAATATTTTGTATCACTCTTCAATTTAATTTCGTAATCACGAAGACATATTAATATCTCCACTTTCCAAAATTCTTTTACCTCGCCATATTTGCGGCTTTGGTCGCGGCTTGAAGAGGCTTCGTTACTTCTTGCAGCTAATATTCGTATTTGGGCAGATTCTGATACAAAGCGCGTCAAAATTCTTTTGAATAGAAATTATGGAGATGAGCCGGTGATGGTTACTGTGAATATGCCAACGCGGGAGCTTTGAAAAATGTTCTAACGAGGGCTTCACCGCGTCCTGTCTGTTGCCATTTCGGCAGGCAGTGAAAATCCGAAGTAAACCTGTATTTCTCCTATACTTTCAAACTTCCGATGTTATAGCGCTTTCCTATTCTACAGTTTTATGATGAACAAAAATGTCCAATCGAAAGTGTCATTCGCAAGTACAACGCCGATAGGCAACGTCTGTGCGCAAGCCGACGAGGAGAGAGAGAGAGAGAGAGAGAGAGAAAGAATCACTCTGGCAATTCAACATTTCCTTATATTGCGTCTCGCGTTTTCGCAAAAAGCGCTTTCACGTCATTAAGAACCGCCCGGCCAAAGGGAATTTGTTAACAATACGAATCCCGCCTCTGCGATTGTTTGTGCAATAAGCGGCTTACGCGCCGACTACGGAAGACATTACTCGGTGCGTATATTTATAATTCTCGCTAATTTTCATCAACTTTTAATATTCTTACGAGCATTAGCGGCAGTCGAGAGGGCACGGCGCGCATTGAAGTCATTACGAAGAAGTACCGCGTCGCGATGACTCGCCCTCGAGTAGCGGGAGTAGCATTGACGTCACGTACTACACGCAGCAGTAACGGGGCACACACGCCACTTGCGTTAGGTGTTTGAAAAAATGTCAGCCGTGGGGGCTCCTGCGTACCATTCATGGAATTTTATTTAGCCCCGATGGCGCGGCGGCGCGGTCTATGTGAAAATAATCGCCCTTTAACGCGTACCGCGGCATAACTCCGACATTTACGCGCCGATCGATGTTCTTTATTTTAAGTGTGGCTCTGTCATCGACTATTAATACGTGTGTCCGGCAGTAACGCTGCTCGACTAACTATAGCGTGGCAGTTACGACGGGACGGATAATTAATAGAGACTACGAGCACACACGAGTAAGAATTGACTGTGTCAACTCCAAGTGTCCCGGCTATCTCGCCCGCCTCTCAGGACTTGAGTCCTTTGGGTGTCCTCCAAGTCTAGTCAGATGACCGAGAACTCCATTCATTCATTTTCGGCATTCGCGTCGACTGCTGCGGAGACTTTCAGCACTATCAGGTACCACCCAGGTAGCACGAGTACCAACGAGTATTGAGTACTGAGTACTGAGGGAAACTCACGTACTTGAAATTTGTGGCTATAAATGTGGCGCGGCGGAAGAGTTCTCTCGCCAGCAACGTGATCTCTGTAGCAAATATCGCTGTAACGTTGATAATAATCAGCTGGCATGCGTGTCTTCCATCATCGAGAAGAGTGCTTGGTATTTGCGATTTGTCGTCGCGTGGTGAAGGAATCGTCGTCGGGGGAATCATGTGTACAATGTTGACGGGATAACAACCTGGCCGGGCCTGCAAGAAGACCCGGTTGGCGCGAATCGGGCTAATTTTAGCGGGGTTAGCCATTTTCTCACACCTCTCGGTTGTGATGTCACCGTGATAACTCCCATGGCCGAGTAACCGGGCGGTACCTGTCACCCGGCTAGTACCCGCGTCCGACTACAGAAATACCCGGTTCACGCTGGACAGCGCTAACAAGAATACGCGCTTGTGAGCGAGAGAACGACGTTATTTTCCTACACATGACGTCGTCCCTCGGCGGCATATTGAAGATATTTTTCTTCCAAACCGATGGAACTTATACGATTATCAACATGCGAGAGAAGAGGATCTTGTGGATATATTGGAACAAACGCTCCTCT